GTGATCAAAAATTCATATTTCTTCACTAATAAAATTTTCTGTTTTGTAATGAACATATTTTTTTTTTTTTCCCGTTTGTTTCATAAATGATGGTTTTCGTTTCGTATTTTTTCACTAACCAAAGTTTCCGTTTCATAACGATCACAATTTCATGATTTTCGTTTCAAAATTAACATAATTCGTATCTTTTCACTAACCAAAATTTCCTTTTCGTAATGATCATAATTTTTCCGTTTTAATTCATAATGATTTTCATTTCAAAATGAACATAATTTATTTTTTTTTTCGTTTCATAATGAACGTAATCCATATTTTATCACTAACCAAAATTTTCTTTTCATATTGATCATAATTTTTCTGTTTTAATTCGTAATGATTTTCGTTTCATATTGATCATAATTTCATATCTTTTCACTATGATTTTCACTCTTTTCTCTTTTCTCTTTCATTAAATATTTCCTTTTCACACAATTTTTATTTTCTTTCTTTTTCCCTCTCTCTCTTTCTTTCTTTCATTAAATATTTCCTTTTTTCACACTTTATTTTCTTTCTCTTTCCTTATAAATCTCTTTCTAATATTTTTATTATTTTTTCTTACATATTGCTCTTTACGTGAAAAAAAATCCTCGGGTATATGAGTGAAAAAAGGGTGTGCACGCGCACACACACACGAACACACACACACACACACGCACACACACATACACACACACGCACACACATAAGTCCTACATTATCTAAAAAAAAAAAATAAAATAAATAAATAAAAACAGGTATTGTATACCCTATGTATGTTTCCCATACATGTACGTACACACACACACACACACACACACACACACACACACACACACACACACACACACACACACACTTACTTACACACGTACACTTACACACACACACACACACGTACACACACAAGCCCTAACATAATGTACAGGATGAATCATGACGCCTAGCAAAGTCTCCGCTTAAAAAAAGGGAAAGGAAACTTACACATTATATATTATACAAAAAACAGATAAGCTTTTCGGGAAAATATAGAAAACGAGATTGCAGTTCCTTATCAAAACAGGTATATATATAAAAAAAAGGGCAGTGAAAGTATACACATGACATATCAACGTATAAATATATATATATATATAAAACTGTTCCATTATTTTTTTTTTTTTATATATATATATATGTAAAAAAAAATTGGGCACAAGCAGGAAAAATAATTAATTAAATTGAGTATTTTTAGAATTAGCAAGTATATACATATATGCATAAGTGTATATATATATACATATATATATATATAAACATATACATATATATAGACATATATACATATACATATACATATATATATATACATATATACATATATATATATATATATATATATATATATATATATATATATATATATATACAGAAAATCAAAAAACAAACCGAACTTATCTCCCGAAATCATTAAAAAAAAGAAAAATCATACCTTAAAAAAAAATTATAATAATAATGATAATAATAATAATAATAATGATAAAAACAAGCGAAGGAGACAAGAAAAAAAAATTATTATTTATTTTTTTTGCTTCTATTAATCGTAATCAGATCAAAGTGTTTTCTTTGGGGGGGGGGGGGGGGAGAGGGAGGGAGGGAGGGAGAGGGGGAGAGGGGGAGAGGGGGAGAGGGAGAGAGAGAGAGAGAGAGAGAGAGAGAGAGAGAGAGAGAGAGAGAGAGAGAGGGAGAGAGAGAGAGAGAGAGAGTGAGACAAAACAAAAAAAAAAAGAAAGAAAGAAAGAAAGAAGACAAAATGAGAGAAAAGAGACAGACAAAGAGAATAACAAAAAAAAAAAGAAAAAAAAAAGAAAAGAGCAGAAACATCTCCTCCCCCCCCCTACCCCCCATTCCCCCCCAATCTCTCTCTCTCTCTCCCAAAGGCTTCGAGAAAATCATATAAACGAAACAATAATAATAATAATAATAATAATCAATAATCAATAATAATTAATAGCAAGTGAATGAACTTAGAGACGTCTATTTCTCTCTCCTCTCTTCTTCTCTTCTCCTCTCTTCTCCTCTCTTCTTCTTTCTTCCTTCCTTCCTCCTCCTCCCCCCCCAAACAGCTATTTATACAATCACATGGAGATCGACGAGAGAAAAAAAAAAAAAGAAAAAAGAAAAAAAGAAAAAAGAGATCGTATCAACTAAGCAACCTCCTCCTCCCCCTCCCCCCCCCCCTCTCGCTTCCCTTCCTTCCTCCCTCATTCACAACACCCTTAACCCCCCCCCCCCCAACCACTACCCTTCCCCCCCTCATCTCTCTCTTTTTGCAATCAAAAAAAAAAAAAAAAAAAAAAAAAAAATTTCCTTTTCTTTTCTTTCTTTCTTTTTTCTTTCTCCTTTCCTTTCTTTCTCCTTTTCTCCTTTTCTCCTTTCTTTCTCCTCTGCAGACGTTAAGAGTCAAACCGACGAACCATTTCGAGCCAAAAAACACAGAGTCACATGAGTGGTTCAGAACCTGACATAAAGAGTGGGTGGTTCTCTCTAGGAAAGGTTCAGAACCCACACTGAGTCTCTTGAGTGGTTCAGAACCTGACATAAAGAGTGAGTGGTTCAGAACCTACACACAAGAGTGAGTGGTTCAGAACCTACACACAAGAGTGAGTGGTTCTCTCTAGGAAAGGTTCAGAACCCACACTGAGTCTCTTGAGTGGTTCAGAACCTGACATAAAGAGTGAGTGGTTCAGAACCTACACACAAGAGTGAGTGGTTCAGAACCTACACACAAGAGTGAGTGGTTCTCCAGGAAAGGTTCAGAACACGCACAAGAGTCACATAAGTGGTTCAGAACCCGACATTAAGAGTGAGTGGTTCTCCAGGAAGGGGTTCAAAACCCACACCGAGTCTCTTGAATGGTTCAGAACCTGACATAAAGAGTGAGTGGTTCAGAACTTACACACAAGAGTCACATAAGTGGTTCAGAACCCACACCGAGTCTCTTGAGTGGTTCAGAACCCAACACACACAAGAGTCACAATAAGTGGTTCTCTCCAGGAATGGTTTCAGAACCACCACAAGATCCACCAACAACGAAACCCCATCCGCGACACGCCTCCGAAACCCTCGGCGAGAACGAGAGCCGTCACTTCTAGAGAACCACTTGAGGAGAACCGTCAGTCTCAAGAACCACTCGAGGAGAACCGTCACTCTCAAGAACCACTCGAGGAGAACCATCACTCTCAAGAACCACTCGAGGAGAACCGTAACTCTCAAGAACCACTTGAGGAGAACCGTCACTCTCAAGAACCACTCGAGGAGAACCGTCACTCTCAAGAACCACTCGAGGAGAACTGTCACTCTCGAGAAATGCTTCCAGAGAACCATCACTTCTTGAGAACCATCATTCTCGAGGAGAACCATCACTTCTTGAGAACCGTCACTCTCAAGAACCACACGAGGAGAACCGTCACTCTCAAGGAGAACCGCTTCTCGAGAACCAACCGCTTTTAGAGAACCTCCACTGTATATCTCTTTCTCTCTCTCTCTCTCTCTTTCTCTTTCTCGAACCAACCCCCACCCCACCCCCCCACAAAAAAAAAAAAAAAACAAAGAGAAGAACCAGAGAACACCAGAGAACGCCAGAGAGAACCGCATCGCCAGCTAGACGATCGCCTGGTTCATGAACTCCAGGAACCGGCGTCCGTACTGCTCCGGCTCGACCGTGGAAATGCCGTCCGCGCTCGAGCCGTACTTCACCGTCTTGGCGGCTTTGGCAGCCTGCTTCTTGACGCCGTAGTGGGTGAGGACGTCGATGAGGGCCATGAAGTAGATCTCCTTCTGGGGGGCGTCTGTGGGAGGGGGATAATGGAAGAGGAGAGAGGAGGAATAGATGGAAAGAAGGAGAGAGGAAGAAAGGAGAGAGGAGGAAAGAAGGAGAGAGGGAGGGAAGGGAGGGGGAAATGAAAGAGGAGAGAGGAGGAATGGAAGGGAAGAAGGAGAGAGGAAGAAGGAGAGAGGAAGAAAGGAGAGAGGGAGGGAAGGGAGGGAGGATGGAGGGAGAGAGAGGAGGAATGGAAGGGAAGAAGGAGAGAGGGAAGAAGGAGAGAGGGAAAGAGGAATGGGAGAGGGAGGGAAGGGAGGAAGGGAGGGAGGATGGAGGGAGAGAGGAGAAATGGAGAGGGAAGAGGAGAGAGGAGGAATGGAGAGGGAAGAAGGAGAGAGGGAGAGGAAGAAAGGAGAGAGGAGGAAAGAAGGAGAGAGGGAGGGAAGGGAGGGGGAAATGGAAGAGGACGGAGAGGAGGAATGGAGAGGGAAGAAGGAGAGAGGAGGAAAGAAGGAGAGAGGGAGGGAAGGGAGGGAGGAGGGAGGGAGAGAGGGAGGATAGAGGGAGAGAGGAGGAATGGAAGGGAAGAAGGAGAGAGGGAAAGGAGAGAGGAAGAAAGAAGGAGAGAGGGAGGGAAGGGAGGAAGGGAGGGAGGACAGAAAGGCGAGAGGAAGAAGGGAGAGGAGGAAAGAAGGAAGAGGGAGGGAAGGCAGGTGGACATGGAAGAGGAGAAGAGGAGAATGGAGGAGGGAAGAAGGAGAGAGGAGGAAAGAAAAGGAGAGAGGAGGGAAGGGAGGGAGGATGAGGAGAGGGGAGGATAAGAGGGAGAGAGGAGGAATGGAAGGAAGAAGGAGAGAGGGAAAAAAAAAAAGGGGGGGAGGAGAGGAAGAAATAAGTAGAGAGGGAGGGAAGGGAGGAAGGGAGGGGAGGATAGAGGGGAGAGGAGCAATGGAGAGGGAGAAGGAGAGAGGAAGAAGGAGAGAGGGAAAGAGGAATGGAGAGGGAGGGGAAGGGGGAAGGGAGGGAGGATGAGGGAGAGGAGGAGGAAAATGGAGAGGGAAGAGAAGAGAGGAGGACCTGGGAAGAGGGAAGAAGTGAGAGAGGAAGAAAGGAGAGAGGAGGAAAGAAGGAGTAGAGGAGGGAAGGGAGGGGAAATGAGGAGGAATGGAGAGGAAGAAGGAGAGGAAGAAGGAGAGAGGAAGAGAATGGGAGGGAGGGAGGAGGAAGGGAGGGATGGAGGGAGAGAGAGGAGGAATGGAGAGGGAAGAAGGAGAGAGGGAAAAGAGAGAGGAGGAAAGAAGGAGAGAGGGAGGGAAGGGAGGGAGGATGGAGGGAGAGAGGAGGAATGGAAGGGAAGAAGGAGAGAGGGAAAGGAGAGAGGAGGAAAGAAGGAGAGAGGGAGGGAAGGGAGGGAGGATGGAGGGAGAGAGGAGGAATGGAAGGAAGAAGGAGAGGGGGAAAGGAGAGAGGAGGAAAGAAGGAGAGAGGGAGGGAAGGGAGGGAGGATGGAGGAGGAGAGAGGAGGAATGGAGAAGAAAGAAGGAGAGAGGAAGAAAGGAGAGAGGGAAAGAGGAATGGGAGAGGGAGGGAAGGGAGGAAGGGAGGGAGGATGGAGGGAGAGAGGAGGAGAGAGGAAAAGAGGGAGGGATGGAAAGGAATGGAGAGGAAAGGAGAGGGAGGGATGGATGGAAGGGGAAGGAGGAAGGAGGGAATGGAAGGAAGAGGAGGAAGAAGGAGGAAGGGAAGGAGGGAAGAAGGAGGGAATGGAAGGAAGGAGGAGGAGGAGGAAGAAGAAGAAAGAGAAGAAGAATGAGAAGAAGAAGAAGGATAATAGAGAAGGAAGAGGAGGAGAATGGGGAGAGGGAGTAAAGGCAGTTAGAAAAGAAGGAGGGAAGTGGGAGAAAGGAGAATAAAACAGGAGAGAGGGAAGGAACGGGGGAAGAAAAAAAAAAAGAAAAATAGATTAATATCACATTTATGGTTAACAATCGATCAAAACCCTATATATATATATATATATGGAACCGCAACCTGACCCTGTTTGCAACGATCAACTTTGCATATCAACGCAATTCGCTTAAAAGAAAAAAAGAAAGAAAAAAAAAAAAAAAAAAAAAAAAAAAGAAAAAGAAAGAAAGAAAGAAAAAAAGCATCTAAAAAAAAAAAAAAAATAAAATAAATAAATAAATAAAATAAATAAATAAAAAAGGCATCTCGGGAAATATAACTATAAGCGTAAACGTTCCATATATAAAAAGGGGTCAAACAAACAAACAAACAAACAAACAAAAAAACAAAAAACAAAGACAGCAAAAACAACAACAGTAATAAAATGAAAATAATTGTGCGTTTCTATCACTATATCATATCATTATATCTCAAAACCAAAATCTTATCAAAGGTACTATAAAAGGTACTATAAAAAGGTATTAAACTATAATAACAATAGAAATAGTAATATATTAACCAATAGTGAAATATTAATGAAAATAATTGAGCATTATATCACTATATTATATCATTATATCTCAAAACCAAAATCTTATCTTAATATAAAAAGGTATTTTAAAAAGGTATTAAACTATAATAACAATAGAAATAGTCATAAGTAACCAACATAGATATATCAAAATATCAATTTAAATATCAAAAAATATTATATTTAAAATATTGAGATATATTAAAATATTAAATCTTAGATATATCAAAATATTAAATTTTAGATATATTGAAATATTAAATCTTAGATATATTAAAATATTAAATCTTAGATATATCAAAATATTAAATTTTAGATATATTAAAATATTAGATTTTAGATATATTAAATTATAAAATCTTCGATATATCAAAATACTAAATTTTAGATATATTAAAATATTAGATTTTAGATATATTAAAATATTAAATTTTAGATATATCAAAATATTAAATTTCACATATATTAAAACATTAGATTTTAGATATATCAAAATATTAAATCTTAGATATACTAAAATATTAAATTTTAGATATATTAAAATATTAAATTTCACATATATTAAAACATTAGATTTTAGATGTATTAAAATATTAGATTTTAGATATATCAAAATATTAAATCTTAGATATATTAAAATATTAGATTTTAAATACATTAAAATATTAAATCTTAGATATATCACAATATTAAATTTTAAATATATTAAAATATTAAATTTTACATACATTAAAATATTAAATCTTAGATATATCAAAATATTTAATATTAGATTTTAGATATATTAAAATATAAAATCTTAGATATATCAAAATATTAAATATATCAAATTAAATATATTACCCTGGACCATATCATACATATGTAAAAGTAATATATATTATAATACATATTTTCTGCTATATCATTAAACGACAATAATAATTATAGTATATTTATCATATTAATTATTATATCATAGTTATTAATTCCTGTAATAATGATGAGGAAATACATCAGAATTTTCTAAAAATAATCTTAAAATAATACTATTAATTATTATTATATTTTCTAAAATAATATTAAAACTAAAATACGGAAAATGAGAAATGAACATTAAGAAAGTGAGAAAAAAAAAAAATAATAATAATAATTAAAATAAAGACAATTATGGAGAAAAAAAAAAGAAAAGAGAAAAAAATTATTAGTAGTATTTTTTTTT